CACAAGATCTTTGGAGTGGATTTCTGCATGCAGTAGATCATTTGAGAGTATTTGGTTATATGAGTTATGTCCATATACCTGATAAACATAGAAAGAAATTAGATGATAGAAATATCGAGTGTGTATTCTTAGGAGTATCACATGAATCCAAAGCCTATACAGTCTACAATCCAATGACTCAAAAGGTTCTAATGAGTAGAGATGTTACATTTGATGAATTTAAAGGTTGGGAATGGGACTCTGAGAAAGAAGGTATTGAAATTCATATCACGTTGGAAGGTTACGAAGAAGATATAGATGATTCAAAAGAAGAATCTTAGGAGCATATTATTTTTACCACACCTATGGCTTCTGATATTATGTCACTAAATGCAAAAGTGGCTAATGAACTGACTGATTTAAGCTTGAACTAATCAGAAAGTGCACAGAGTTCATAAGTTGCGACCATAAATGATTCAGATGCTCAAAGTTCTAAATTGGGTTCAAGAGTACGAATAAGACCTGGTTAGTATGATGCATATGAAATGGGAAACATTATGCTTGATACAAATAATCAGTATGCATTGCAAGTGGATAGTGATAATCCTATCTCTTTTGAGGATGATGTGAAGACGGAAAAATGGAGAACAACCATGAATGTGGAGATGCAAGCCATTCAGAAAAATGACACCTAGGAGTTGACTAGATTACCGTTTAGAGCAATACCAATTGGTGTTAAATAGGTATATAAGACCGAGTTAAATGATAATGGTGAAGTGGATAAATACAAATCAAGGTTAGTGGCAAATGGGTATGCTCAACAATATGGAAAAGATTATGACGAAGTGTTTGCTCCATTTGTAAGGTGTGATACTATAAGGTCTATGCTAGCTCTTGCAGAACATCATGGGTGGTATGTCTATCAATTAGACATTAAGAGTTCATTCCTACATGATGAGCTCACATAAGAGGTTATTATAAAGAAACCCCCTGGCTTTGTGATCTTAGGAGAGGAGCATAAAGTTTACAAACTGAAGAAGGCCTTACATGGATTAAAGCAAGCACCAAGGGCATGGTATAACAAGATTGAAAATTACTTCCAGGAAGGTGGCTTTGAAAAGTGTCCTTATAAGCACACTTTGTTCATCCAAAAGAAAGAAGGTGATTGTCTGCTGGTTAGTTTATATATGGACGATCTTATGTAAGCTAGCAGTTGTAATCAAATTGTGACACCATTCAAGAAAAGCATGAAAGCTATGTTTGAATTGTATGACTTAGGCTGAATGAAGTATTTCCTAGGAGTCGAGGTCAGTCAAGCTGACCAAGGAATTTTTCTTTTCCAGAAGAAGTATATAAGATATCTTTTATTGAATTTTGGTCTCTTGGAGAACAATCATGTGTGCAATCCTATTGTCCTGGAAAGCAAATTGACTCTAGAAGGTGATGCTTGTATTGTTAATGATATGAAGTATGAGCAATTAGTTGGTAGTATTCTGTACTTAACAACTAGATCTGATGTCATGTATGTGGTTGATTTGCTAATTAGATATATGGACAAACCTATAAGAGCTCATATGCAGCCAATAAAAAGGGTGTTGAGATATCTAAATGTAACCATGGAGTTTGGCTTCTGGTATAAAAGGGATGTTTATTACAAGTCTTTAATTGGGTTCATTGATAGTGACCATGCAGGGGATGTGGATGATAGGAGAAGTACTAGTGGATATGTCTTCTTTTTTGTCAGTGCTGATGTTTCATGATCATCAAAGAAACAACTTGTAGTCACCTTATCAACAATCGAGGCTGTTTTATGGAAGTAACTTCTTGTGCAGCCCAGTGTATTTGACAGAGACATGAGCTTGAACAGGTAGGTTGGCTGAAGAGTATTGAAGGTGAAACAATAATATCGTGTGATAATGTTTCAACTATCAAATTGTCCAAGCATTCAGTGTTACATGGAAGGATTAAACAAATAGACGTGCGATTTCATTTTCTTTGAGATTTAGTCAAGGAAGGCATGATCAAGCTAGAGTATTGTAGTATAAATTCTCTGATTGTTGATGTTATGACTAAGGACGTGAAATTGGAGACACTTGAGTCACTAAGAAACAAGATATGAGTTGGGAAATAGACTGATATGGTGAAGGAGAGCTCAAGTACTGCTAGTGGCTGAAATATGATGTTGTGATTACTGATAAACTGAACATTGATCTTGTTAATTTTAGGGGAGAATTTGTTGAATCAACATGTCATTATTTTCATTAAGTTGACAGTTAGCAGAATATAAGTATTGTTAGTGGGCTTATTAGCGGGCCCTTAGTTTTAAGCCTTAGTTGTTAGAGATGTGGATTTTATTGTGAGAGCCATGCCTATTTGTTAAAAAAAGTAGTTTCTATAGCTTGTAGATAGTACATCTTTAACAGTTCTTTCAATTCAATAAAGATAATTTCTTTTTCCACTCTATAGTGAAAATAAAAACCCTACGCAATTCCTAAAATTCCCCTTGAAACTGGAAATATATTTCCGGTGCGCACCATGCACCACATACAAACATACAAAATGTGGTTCCATCCTATTCAAAAGGCAAAAATAGAACCGAAATTATAGTTCCAGATGCATCCAATATTGTATTTCCGGTTTGTATAGCGGGAAGATTGAATTTGTCTATCACCTTTTCATTTTATATATAACTAAAAATATATTTCTGGTATTATAAAAAATGCATATTCAACTAGCACACACAAGGATGATCAATGTCATTTCTTCATATTTCCATAAACCCCCTCAAAAACCCTTCCATTCTCAATCCATTTTTTCACTCCAAATCTTCATTCTTATGGTTCATCATATCAAAAGGAGCTCAAGGAAGTGGAATTTAGGGTAAAGTTTATTCATTTCAATCCTGATTCTTCACATTAATATCCTTTTCATCTTGAAAAATGTTACGCTAATACCTAAGGATTTGTATTTGCACCGAAGGAAAAATGGATGTGCTTCCCTGAGGTGGGTCATCCGATAGAAAGTACACATGAGAGAGTGTGTATTAATCTTATAAGATATGGTTTGTCGGAAACATTTTTCCCACTGCGCACTGCTCCACCACAAAATCTCAATGATCGTATCATCGGTGTTGAGTGGGTTTCTAATCTTCAGCATTTTGTTCAAGTATATTTAAAATCAGGATGTCCAATACCAATTACGTCACCGAAGTGAGAAAATCATTACATAATACCTTCCAAGACCTGGCCGGACCAATTTATTGAAATGGTGCAAGACTACAACAAGTTGAACAAAATTGAAATAGAAAAAATAGGGAAAAGTCAAAAGGGGTGGCACCTGTGGATTTGTCCGACGATAATTATTTCGGATCATTTAAGTAGTTAGGTATCATTTTATTATATATGTCATTTTGTCAATATGTTATACTATGGAATATAGCCATTTTGTAGTTTGACCAAAAATATCATCTTTCAATACATGATGTTTTTGTTTTTCTTTCTATGTATGCTTCTATTTTTGTTTCTGTTCTGGTTTTTAGTTACAAGGGACTTTCCGGAAATATATTTTTGGTACATATTTAGGTGGAACTGGAAATGAAATTCCGTTTTACAGTCTGTCACAAGAAAGGATTTGTAAGGTCCATGTTTGCCTTCAACTACTATAAATAAGCTCACTTGGCATATCGTTTCATATCAAAACACCAAAAACGGAATGAACATCAAATGGCATGTTAGAAATATCCATTTTATCGGAAATACACCATCACGAGAATTTAAATTCACCGAGTACACCCCTCTTGAAAATCTGCAATACATATTGCAGGACCCGCTACCTTATGGAGACAATCGCAAAGTTGTGAAGATCGAATAGCGCTCGCCATCTGTTGACAAAGATGGGAAGCTTGAGTTCATCAACCGTGAGCTGAAGAACAAAGTTGATATAGGTTCTATGTGCAATACTTTTACTCGTTTTGAAGAAAAAGTTTAGATCGAGCTAGATGCGACTGTTTCGAGATGGATAGATCATATTATCATGATGTTGCAACATTCACGTGGACGTTAAAATATAATGTTTGATGTACGTTTCAATCCTTAATGTATTACATATTGTTGTACCCCAAAATTTTCCCTCTCATTTCTTAAGACATTTCCTCATAAGGATTTTCAAAAGTTCAAATTTGCACAAGTACAATTGGATTTTTAATGCCCTTGTAATTTCTATGGATCATATTGGATTTCCAAGTATCAGGTCAAAGAGGAAACCATTGAAAGAGCAGAGTAGATAAATTTGAGTTTTTGACAAAATTGAAGAAAAACAAGTTTGCTTCGATTCATGCTTAACTTCGAATGAACTCTCCCCTGCATGCAAGCTGCGACAAAGTATTTGTTTCCCTTTGAAATAACAACTTTGATTCAGGAGGCAAGGGCCTCCTGTTAGCGTCCTTCGATTCAGGAGGCAAAGGCCTCATGTTTAGCTTCTTTCGATTCCACCTTTTACCTCCTTTTGGCATCCTTCGATTGCACAATTTATCTCCTGCATACATCCCTTACCTTCTGCATGCATCTTTCGTTGGGCATGTGGCCCTCCACTACGCCAAAAATGATTTTTTGTATCACCTAATTTAATAGCACTTTTAAAAAAAGTGCTATTAAAATGGAAAAAACACATTTATAATAGCACTTTTTAATCGGGCGCTATTATATAATACAGACTATGTAATTTTGATAGCACTTTGTACCAGAACGCTATTATTAAACTTCTTTAAGATAGCATTTTGTATAAAACGCTATTATTTGACTACCTATATAATAGCATTTATTAAAAAGCGCTATGTTATATATATAATATTAAAAAAACCTTAAACTATATTTATATAAAAAATGAATGAACTAAGATCAAAGTTAACATTTCTTTAGCAGCAGCATTGAGTTAACTCAAAACCATAAAGAAACAAAAATTTCAAGGATTTGAGTCAGTTGGCAATACAAAGCCTGAGCTGAAGTAAAGAGGAAGGGGAAAAAATGACAGAAGCAAACAACCTGAGAGACGCCCGGAGAAGAAGAAGAATCCTCCAACAAGGATCCGACCGTCTTGCCTTCATCCAGGGTCGGATCCAAACCCTCCCTCCTCCCGGTAACTACCTCTTCTCTTCTCTTTCATTTCAATTTTCTCTCTTCTTATTGCTTCTGTAATCATCCATCTACAAACCCTAGAATTCAATTTTGATTTTACAACTGCTTTTCTTCAGATCTGCCTCACGCCAACGACGAGGAGCAGGAGTATCCGAATTCCGTTTTGCAGAATCACGTTGATGCCGAAATTTTGCCTGAAAAACAACACAGTGAAAGTGAGATTTTAAGTTTCCCCAATTCTGAAATTGAACCTGAACATGTACAAGAATCACAACCTCTATTTCAACCTCAACCACCAACAACACATCAAGATTCATCTGATGAAATTTCCCAGCTCGAAGAACCTAGAAGTTTCGATTTCATAAGCCCTAGGGATGTGACGAATGCCGTTGATGCCTCAAGGTTTACGCGTCTTTGTTGTTCGATTATAGTTGCCTTATTGGTTGTTGCCTCTTGTCTAGGATTCTCTTTGATTAAGACTATTATAAGCTTTAGACCACTTTACTTGGTTCTCCTCACAAATTCGTCTTTTGTTGTTGCGAAAATTATTTCTGGGAAACAAAGAGGCTCTGATGAAAGGTTGAGGAGGAGACGGAACAACGCCAGTGCCAGCGCCAGCGCTGATTCTTCTGATCAATATGCACAGCTTGCAAAAACATTGGAAATTGGAATGGTGCTGAAGACTGTGGCTGATGCTGTCTTCGTGGATTGTGTTGTCTATGCTATTGTGCTCATATGCAGCCTTTCCCTTGTGCATCACTGATATTACTTAGAGAGCATAGGAAGTGTCACAAAGAGGTATTTCTTGATACACCTACATAAGATTGCAAATTTGTTTTTGATAAAAATGAATTAAGTGATTGAATTACGAAAAACTTATATGATTTAGATGTGTTTAAAGATGCATATTCAAACAAAATAGGAGAACATTCTAAGGGATGAAAAGAGTAGTCGAGATATTGTAATTCAATAGAGTTATACTGATAAAATTAGATAAATTGGTTGAATGGATATCACAAAAATGTTAAAGATAAATAACATCATCGGAGATCCTCTAATGACATTCTTTATTATTTTTTGGGACAGAACTAGAGAGAAACCATAAAATTCAATACAGAATGCAAGAATAAAGATGATGTCGGTTACGGGGTGGTTTCCTGCTTATGTTAAATTTGCCCCTGAACTTGATAGGTTGGCGGCGAAACCCTTTTACAACCAAAGAAACACAAATTGTTCACCACAAATGTCCTTCCAACGCAACAGTTTGAAGAGATGCTATTGCAAAAAGAAAGAGCAAGACACACAGTTTTTATCAGATAGTCCATGGGATAGTGGGGATGTATGGGCCAATCTTGCTCTCTATCTTTTCACTCTTCATATTCCTCTCAGTTTTGGAGGCTTATCCGTTGTTTCATTGCTCACAGGACAACAACCTCTTCTTCACCCACAAACTCAGGTAGGTGTGCAATTGAGCCTTTTTCATGCTGTTTTTTTAATTTTGATAAGATATTTTCATTCATTGATGCAGGCCATATCACTTGTTACCATCCAAGTTCTTGAGTTTAATGCAGCTCTGGTTTTATTCAAGTACACAGCTAAGCCACAATATAAATTTTCAAATTTCTTCAAAAATAACGCCAGGAACTGGTTTTTTTCATCAGCTCTTGGATTTGGGTTTCTTGTTCTTCTCATTTGTTTAACATCGCTACTTGGTGACAGATTATTTGACTTTAAGGTTCGTCATTATACATATATATCTTTTCTGCAATTCCATTTCATCTTTATCAAAAAAGAAGCAAAGATGATATATGTTGTAATTCTCCTCCAATTATCACTTATTGAGGTGGTGCTGCCAGGTGTTTTAGAAGTGGGATATTGTACACCAAGGATTTGTAAATATGGTGAAGATCTAGCTGTTAGCACACAGTAGAATTGTTAGGTAGAACATCTTTTGACCCTAGGCCACAAACCAACAGGGTAAAGAATTTGTGAATTGTGATGACAATCGCTTAGTCTTATTGCTAGAGTTTAGAACTTCCTTAGTAGAACGGTACGTAGCACCAACGGGGTAAAGAATTTGTGAATTGTGATGATAACCGCTTAGACTTATTGCTAGAGTTTAGAACTTCCTTGGTAGAACGGTACGTAGCACCCTTTAACTTGTAGTTAGTTCAACCAGAAAGAAAGAAAACAGTTTCAACGAGACAAATAAGCTGAACATCGAATAGGTTTAATCTGGAATGTTACAACTCTTTTGACAGTGAAAGGAAAAATACTACCATCCACTAGAATCATGGCCTATGGCAAATGCCTTCTATACATGATTGTGAGCAGTTTTGTTGCAACAAGGCCATTTAGTTGCTTTTCTTAGCCACACATTATTATAACCATTGTTATGGTTACAAAAGGAACTATTTATTTTGGAGCTATCTTATTACCCTCGGCGATCAAAAGAGTTTGCGGTTTTTGACAGATAAAAGAGTCAGGGGTGAAGATTAATTCAAATGAATATCTAAATTGATGAGAATGGACTTTGAATTTGGTATAAACCAGGAAATGACAATAAGGAAAATGATGTGTTATCCAGGCATATGACTTATGCATCCATGTCTATATACTTAGATGAGTGGGAAAAAGGAGTTCAATCAAACAGCAAAATGAATGTTATTATGCCAGATCTGATCTGAGATTTCCATTCACATCTAAGTCCTTCCTTCTCCTTTTTTAGCGCTTCATCGTAAATACAAGTCATGTTTTTTAGCCCGTAAGAAGGAAGTTGTTTAAAGCTTACATATTGATCTTATTATCACCAACCTATATGAGGTTATAAATTGGCTATGAAGTAGTTTTGTGCTTCCATGCTTGATATTGTGAAAACTACTATGTCAAACACCACTTATTCCAACCAACAAGGTTTTAAATTGCCTATAAAGTAGTTTTGTGTTGCTATTGTTGGTATTGTGAAAAATTGATGTCAAATACCACTCATTCCGAGGAGTTAAGTCATGTTTCATGCCTTGGTACTGCAAGAGTTTGATCAAATACAGTTGGTGCAGGCTCAACTGTAGTTGCGTTATAGTTGCAGAGAGATAGAAAGCCTCGACTTTGTAGTTCAGATTCCCGTCCTAGACTTTTATTAAAATCTTAGAAGATGCGGCTGCAGTTGCACTTGCTGTTGCAGAGACATGGAAACTTGATATAATTGCCGCAGTTGTAGTTGCGGATAAGTTTTGGATCCTTTGGGAACATACCTTGTTAATATATCATTATTGATATTGTTATTTAGTAAGCTCTTATTGATAAATATTTGACTGGAACAGATATATAGCTCCTCAGCAAGTGCCAGTTCAATATGGAGGACTTAGCAGAGAGGGTGAACAGGAATTCACCACTGCTGACCCTGCTACAGAGGTTATTATCAAACCAGCAACAAAACATGCTGTTGAGTTCCCAATTTCTGAGGTGAGAATAAAAACTTGTTTCATAACCAAAACCAATCTTATCATGGTTTTGGTTTTGGTTTTAAATTGTGGTTACGTATATGCTGTGACCCTTTATACCGCAATTACTGTTGTGAACTGCAATTTAAAACCATGATCTTATGTGCATATTTAGTATTAGTATCTTAACTGAATCTGAATGATTGAATGAGCAGAAAAGCACCTTGGTATGGGAAATCAGAGTGGTGGACTGGAATGTGAGCTATGGAGCAGAATTTGTGCCTAGTGCTGAAGATGGATACACAGTGATAGTACAGAAAAACAGGAAAATCTCGCCAGCTGATGAAAAAGTAATCAACAACACCTTCAAAATCGGTGAACCTGGCAAAGTTGTACTCACCATTGATAACCAAACATCAAAGAAAAAGAAGCTTCTTTACAGGTCCAAGACCATACCCATCTCTGAGTAAAAACGGCTTCAAAGAAAAAAGTCTGAATTCTTCATTAACAAAGAGAATGATGATACCAAGGTGAAGAAGAATACTAAGGGTGTTGTTTTGTATTCATTATAAGGATTATAACACTGTTGTGAAAGTTATTGGGTGGGTTACTTATATTCTTTTATATAGGGTTATTTTGTTCATTTGGGTTGTAAATTATTTTTGTTTCATGTATGGGGTTTGGGAAATTTTATTTACAGTTATTATTACTTATTAATATCTTCAATAGTAATGTGGTGTTTTCTTCTTTTGAATTTGAATTTGTTTGTTATGGACTCAATTGGGGTTCCTTTATAAAAGAAATTTTCATTGTTTTTGTTTATAATTTATTTAATGTATTAGTTTTGTTTGGTTCCCACCTGTTTGTTTTCTGTTTTCTTGGAGGTTTTGGGGTATGTTCTAGGGACATATTACCACGCCAAAATCGCCCCACACAAATGGATTTTGAAAAATTGTATGGCTTTTGATAGCACTTTAATTAAAACGCTATTATAAATTGGTACTTTAATAGCGCTTTTAAAGTGCTATTAAATAAGAAATATTTACAATAGTGGCGCGGTTAATAGCACTTTTAAGCGCTATCAAAAACAAAAAAAAAGCGCTATTAAATAGCTTATTTGGCGTAGTGCTCCCTTGATGTATGCTTTGTTTGGGCATTTTTTTACTTCCTGCATGTCTTTTTCGTTTGGGCATATGGCCCTCCCTTGATGCACGCTTCGTTTGGGCATTTTTACTTCCTGCATACCTCTTTCATTTGGGCATGTGGCCCTCCCTTGATGCATGCTTCACTTGGGCATTTTTTACTTCCTACATGCCTCTTTCATTTAGGCATATGGCCCTCCCTTGATGCACGATTAGTTTGGGCATTTTTACTTCCTGCATGCCTCTTTCGTTTGGGCATGTGGCCCTCCCTTGATGCACACTTTGTTTTGGCATTTTTACTTCCTGCATGCCTCTTTCGTTTGGGCATGTAGCCCTCCCTTGATGCACACTTCGTTTGGGCATTTTTACTTCCTGCATGCCTCTTTCATTTGGGCATGTGGCCCTCCCTTGATGCACGCCACGTTTGGGCATTTTTACTTCCTGCATACCTCTTTCGTATGGGCATGTGGCCCACTTCAATACAAGCTATGGTTGCTTTCTTCGTATGGGTTTGTGGTTTCCTTCGAATGCAAGTTTGGGTACATCTTTCGTTTGGCCATATGACCCCTTGAAGGCAAGTTTGAGTGGGCAGTGGTTCTTCATGCAAGCTTTCGTTTGAGTAAAGGCTCCTTGCATGTTTTTCTTGGAGTCATAAAGCAATAACCTCCTAAAGCTTTCCTTCGTTTCAGAGGCCATTTTCCCTTTGCATGATTCCTTCGACTCACAAAAAAACCAGGACTCCCTTCAGGCCAAAAGCTCCCCCATGGCTGGCATTCACAAGGCAATGCCGCCCACCAAGCATTAGCTACTTTCACGCTAGTTTCGACTGGGCAGTATCTCTCTTGGAAACAGTTTGTTTCGACACACAGGGGTTTTTTGCTATGACACTCACAACTAGAACATTCGAAGGAACATACAAAAGGCCTATTCGAAAGACACCTATTTGGGCCCCTTCAAAGGATACACATATGAGCAATTTGAAGAACACTTTGATTTGAAAAGAAATGTTGTTGTTTGAAAAGGAGTCTGGTCGAAGGATAGGGTTAGGGGGTCAAAACAAAAGGTTGAGATATCCAAAGATACTTGCTGGCCAGAGTCCCATGTGCTGGCAAGTTCAGGCCTGATACACTGGCCATAACACTCCAAAACTGCTGCACAGCAGTCCTACAACAATGGCCTTATTCTTGAACCAATTTGGCATATGAATACTTCCCCTCGAAAGCTACAAAAACATCATGCCCTTTTTGTTCAAATTTCTTTTATTTTCCCTCCTAAAACATCATCAAAATCACCTATAAATATGAGCCTCCACCACACATCTTAGGGGCCCCTGGATAGTTGCAAAAAAACTCTTGTTGTGAGAAAAGTGATAAATTTCTCAAAAAACTCTCAAACACTATCCAACATTTTTTCAAATATTCCAAACACTTCTAAAAAACTTAGACCCCTTCATACACTAATTGAACCCTTCGATTCACTCCTCAAGTTGCCAGATAACTAACCTTTCACCCATTCCCCCAACTGCAATATAATAATCTTTTGATTCACTCCCTTACCTGTTATAGAGTAACCTTCAACTCACTCACATATCCTCCTTCGATTCAGTGACTACTCAAACAAGGTAGTAATTGAACTAGCCTCAGGAAGACTCCAACGAACTTCCATTCACCACCAAGGAAGTCAGATGCAGTTTCTTTCGATTTAAGCGCTTCAAGAGGTATGTTCTCTCTAAACTTGGAACTATTTCATTTAAATATCATGTGTACATACCAATAAAGAGAAAATGTAGATATTTCCTCCAGGGAGTTTGACCATGCTTTAACCTTCTATCTTGACTGCCTATATGTTGAAAGTCTCAACTCTGACTAGTTAGACTTTGGATTTTGAGGCCCAATGATTTTGTGCTAACACCTGGCCTGTAGCTTTCGAAAGATACACTTGAATGTTGAATTTTCAAAATTTTAAAACAGGTTCTCTGTATCCTTCAATTGGCTAAATACTTAAGCCTTTCGAATCTCAACCTGAGGGTCTAGCATTCCTGCAGTCGAAGAAGGAAGCAAGGAGCTTGAGGCGAAGAGTGCACCTCACGTTGACTTCAGGCCTCAAATGAAAGAAGTAGCCAGAAGGATGACCACACTGACTTCTAGGTCCCATTCGAAAGAAACTGGAAAGGGGTGAAATCGAAAGACATGACCTTACTGATTCCAGGCCCAAATCGAAGGAAGCCAAGAAGGGCAGAATAGAAGAGTGTTGTTGCCTGAATCGAAAGAGCCCATTTTCCTTTCTTTATTTTATTTTGTTTTTACATTTTCTTGCTATTCAATATGGTTGTAATAGTGTAGGATTTATTTTCTGCATTTTTATTCTTTTGTACAAATGTTAGTATATAGTATTTATGGCAAGATAAAACCAACCAGTATACAACTTAAAATTCAAAGACAAAATGCATGCAATCAAACACAATTTGCACAAATGCACCTCTAGGATAATCTCACTTATTTCCTCGGAAATATAGTCATGTCCCTCGAATATGGGCGTTTTAGCAAAGACCCTCGATAAAAGATCGTAGTCCTTCGATGACCCTCAATGTTGCCTTCGGTAAATGATCTAGTCCCTAAATTGCTAAAACGTCCCATTGGTTGCCTTCTATGACTATACAAACGTCCCACGCCCGTCCCTTGACATCCAATGATGAGGCTTCTTACCAAATAAATGGTAAGATAGCAACATATAAAGAAGGAGGAAAAGAACATAGACCTTTTAAGTAGGTAGGATGCTCCTAGTTAATTGCTTGCTCACAACAAAAACATTTTATACACCAACACTTTCATTTGAAACATTTTCAAAAGACGAAGCTTTTTGTACGCGTTCTTATAGAAACGAGAACCATTACAAAGACACTTTTCCAAATACTTTTAAAACCCACACCACAAGCACATTTTCAAACAAAAGCAAGTGATCTAGCAAGCAACTAAGAGCCCGTAGATAACTACGGGTGAAAAGGGTTCTAATACCTTCCCTTTTCATAACCTACCCCCCGAACTCAAGAAAACACCTCTAAAGGTCTTTCCTGTTCTTTTCAACCTTTCCTTTGTTGGATAAAATAAAAGTCGGTGGCGACTCTTGCTATCCGCAACAATTGCGATCAAATGCAAAACACCCAAGTCAGTTTTCCCACCGTATTACAGAACTGGAGACTCTGCTGGGGAATTGTACTTAAAAGTGGGGTTACCTTAGGGCTAGATGACCTTTACTTTCTTTTCATTGTTTTACTTGCTTGATTTACATTATGGTTCCTTGTTTGGGCTTGTTTTGATCCTCTACCCGGATTTGAGGCACCTTTTAGGTAAGTAGCAATAAGTTGTGGAAACTGTGCGGGATATACCGACATGGTCAAAGCAATAGCTACGTTAGTGTGAAACATTTGTTGTTATTGGTAGTCCTTGAGTAGTCAAGGAGAATACGGGGCCGTTGTGTGGTTTCATGAAGCACTGACTTTAGAACCTTACTTGAACCTTACTTGAACAACTTGGCCATTAGGAAGTAGTGAGGTAGCCGACTTTAGTGCAGTCCAAAGTTGGTTGATACTCGATACTACACTCATTAAGATCAGACTTTTGGGATATTTCGGTTGCCAATAAAGAGGCTTCCGCTGAAACAATGGCCGATGAAGAAAGATAAGTGATATTGAGATTCCCTAAAACTCATTTACTTTTTAGGACAGGTTGAACCAACTAAACTTCAAGAGGGTACTTGCCTATTAACCTCATGCAAGCCTAAACCTAAGGACTTGTTTGATTTGCTTGTGCATATTCTTGTACATAACATCATGGCATCATACCATAGCATTTTAGACTAACCATTTCATGGATCTTGAGATTCATCTTTGTTCTATTTTGCAGGACATGACTCCTACTCACAGAAATGCAATCTAAGTCAATCTCGTACGAGTACCTTTTTAGCTCAAAGAATTAGCATCAAGGGTCCATGAGAATTCTCCGTTCACCAAAAGACATGGATGACTTCTCAACCTGGTTACCTCAAGCTTTGATGAAGACATGATGAAGGTGTTTTTCCAGTTCTTCGACCCTTTGCACCATTGCTTTACCTTCCCCGATTACCAACTTGTGCCTACTATGGAAGAATTCTCTCAACTCTTAGGAATTCCTATTCTCAATCACTTACCTTTCAACAGTATTTAAAGAGACCCGAGCCCTGAAGAGATTGCCCGAGCCTTACACTTGCAACAATCTGACGTCATGGTTAACTGGGAAATAAGAAGTGGTGTCAAAGGGTTCCTGGCCAAGTTCCTATTGGAAAAAGCTCAA